ACCATGAACTCAAGTGTAGCATGTTCCTTCCAAATAAAATATTAAACATACCCATCCGATAGATTTACGCAATTTTTAGTTGAGTTACTTCAAATTCAAAGTAAAATTTTTAGAAATATGTAGTTATGACAATTAGGCTAATGCAAATCACAAACAAGTCTTATTGAGTTGTCGAATTAATATTCGCTCGCGGAATAAAGCCATCACTGTAGAATATACGAGGTTTTCATCGTCGATAAGAACAGAGTCATGTTGCAAAATTTTTTAATGTAGACTGTTTTAATTGCAAAGCGCTAGTGGCAGAATAATGATAAATGAAATTTCTTGACCGTATACTGTGCTATACTCTTATCGACTCATAGTTACACATCATTATCGACGAGATATACTGTACCGTATAAACTTGAATCGGAGATTTGCAAGCATTCTAAAATAGTACCTTTCTTAAAAATATTTGGTTTTTGGCACCAGTGGCACAGCATGCTGGTACAATATTAATCTCAAATTTAATTAGCCTACCGTATTTCCATATAGCAGTAATATCAATGCCTATGTAAATACTTAATAATTTCTGGTTAGTAAGATTTCATCAAAATTAATACGATATCAATGATGAAAGAGTAAAGAAACTATCTAACTTATGCACACAGATATGATCCTGATTACTGTAGACAAACTTTTGAGATTAATCTCAAAATAGAGTGAATAATTAATTATAATCAATTATCATTAGTCATATTCTATTCTGGATTACTTGGCAAGTTACTACTTATCCAAGATATAATCGAGAGAGAGGAGAAATCAAGATTTGTGCTTTTCTTTATAGTCTGCTCGATATTAGCTTGACTACTGTATAGCGCTAGTGACGCTCATACGGAGCTTGATAAGCTACCCTTGCTACGGTCGATCGGTAAACCTTGGATGGCTTCATTATTAATAAAGTGTACGGTGCACGGGTACCTAGTCACCCTTAGCAATTCTATCTGTTATAGCTATCCGTTTCCGTATTAAAAATCTACTACCAAAACAGTAAAGTGCAGTATATCGTGAATTGAATAAGGCTAATGGTCAATTTCGTTGACAGCGTTAAAGCATTTTCGAATCACTAATGAGCTTGAGTGAAAAATAACATCTAATTATAAATTTTGATTTTTTTATGCTGGTTCATTAGCTAGCCTCTTAAACACCGGTTCTATGCCATACTCCATAGTATACTATGCGCTACCGTTATGCGTTCATGTACTGTATACCAGTGTACTGTGCAGTGGAGTAACAACCGTTACGTTTCCAATCGCTGTTGGATGAAAAATTCAGACTTATCATACTTACCACAGATTGAATAGTAACATTAACATTAGTTTGGAAATTAAACGTGACCTAACAGTTGCAATGTTAAGAGTATTCAGTAGTCGTTGTAGTCATTTCCCAAATCATGTTGGCGTTAGATTAGGAATCGAGTACGTACAGTAATGAGTTGTAGAAAATGTTGGTGAAAAGAAATTACATCCAGTGGAGAAAGCTAGAGGCCCAGTTGAGACCCTTATCATCAATGAATATTTCTTTTACAACGATCGGCTGTTTTATCAGTACGTTATGATATGAATTTGGTCAACACAATTTAAACCTTCGATTCATTTTCATACGAACCACCATGGAAGAAATTGGATCAAGTTGAGAAGGTTATCGGCCTAATTACCATCAATGAACATTTCTTCATTAAACGACAACTATGGCTGTTTATCGCTATGTTATGATATAAATTTAGTTGATGCAATTTTACGCCATCTAACTTAATTTCATGCCAACAACTGTCAAGATGAGGCAAGGCTGAAACTGACTAGAGTTTAGCGAGAGATGACCCGACCCCTTTCACTTGAAGTAGAACTTGACAAGATTACAAGCATCACTGAACCCTATCGTTTCAACTATTCTCTACTCAATCCAAGTCAAAACGTAGTAAAATAAGAATGGTTCTTGGGCATAGAACATTAAAAACATTCAATTAATCAATAGCATTTTAATAATAACTATTCCATTGAACATGGCATTGGTTTGAGTTTTGGTTCGCTTGCACTGCTACCAACTTGGCAGTGAATTTTAAAAGATTGTATGAATTTTTTTAACTTGACTATGTCAAATTACGAAATGAATATTACTTACAAGATATTCCAGCAACGCCCAGTACAAGCAATAGGCAAATCCTTAGAAATAACGCCATATTGACTAGGAAATGCCTTAGCCGTTTGTGAAAATTCAATCAA